TCTTATTTTTTTGGTTGTTGCTTGTATGTGATTTCTCTGTAATTTCAGTTTTTGTTTAATAAAATTGTTATTTTTTGGTTGATCTTTTTAATTTTTTTACAGATTCTTTCAGGGATTTCAAATAATTTATATTATGTTAGACAATGGAAGTCCAAACTGATGAAATACACCATGAAACATTATCATCCACCTTCAAAGAAAAATTGGCACTGAATTTATATTGATTCTACAGAACCTTTCGAAAATTTACTTGTTTGATATGCGTTGATGCAAAAGCTGAATGACTATGTGTAAATTTATTTCCAATAATGCCTTCATTTTCAAAGTAAAGAGTTTCAAGGCAGGGACACATATACGCGGTGGAGTACGCGGTGGCGTTCAGACGTAACATGTACAATCAAATATGCCGTTGCACATTTGTCGTAACATGTCTACGGCCAGAGCGGTACGGCAGCGTTCTAATGCGCGGTGGCGGTGAAACATGGGCTGTTGAGTTCGACCGCTATTGAAACGCGTACCGCTCGCAAAAATGTCTATAATTGAAGAAAGTGTCACTGAAAAAATTATAGAACATGTAAAGAAATGCAGGGTGTTATATGATTTATCTCATCCTCATTACAAAAATATTCGGATTAAGAATAAAGCATGGGACGAAATGGCAAAAAGTTTAAATGTTGAAGGCATGGATGGTAAGTATGAAAATATTAGTGTTATTGTGTATTGGTAATTTATTATGTTGTTATGTTATGTCAATATAACTCACTGTTTAGTAACATTAAACACTACAAGCTATTGAAATAATCAACAAATTGATCACGTAAATANAGTCTCTACATAGAGAGACTATCATAGATAGAAATAGTAAACCGCCAATAAGGCTTGATCATTAGGGATGTTGTTAATCGTTGGACATGACGTTGTTATAGAAACATGTAATTTCAAATTATATGATAACGAAACAAAATTATCAATAGTGAGATCATTTAAAAGTATTCAAGCATATACGGGTATCTAAACGAATACAATATCCAAAATATAAAAACAAAATAGATCTGGTTTAAATAAACTTCCATGTACGCCAAATTTAAAAAGTCAAAACTGAAACTTCTGGCGCAGAATAAATTCAAAACAAGAGTTGCTCCTAAACACCAGAACTGCAATACTCTTCTGGGCACGTGTTTTACCAGGCGGGGTCTTCAGGAGATGAAGTAGACTGGTGTTTGGAATTTCCTGGTGGCCTATAATATTTTTACATGATTATTTTTCATTACCATTACTTTTTGTACCTATGAATTATCAGCTGAATGTTACAGATTTAGAGTTTTATGTCAATAAATTATAAATTATCAGCTGAAGACGACTTGCAAATTGTAAATTATGTCAGCACCATACCATTAGGAGTATTGTTTTGTAGTTTTGCATTATTATTCAAGTCGTTTTATTATTATACTAATATTTTTTTAAAAGCTGATGTATAACAGTTTGAGATTATTTCCCTATGTGGTTGACAATTTTTATTGTCGAATGTTGCAGATTCGATGAATGAATTAAACGAATTCAATATTCGAAATTGAAATCTTTTGAAAACACCATTCCCTTACCAGAACAAAAATGCTGTTTCTCAACGCGCGTTTCTTCTGATGATAATATCTTGTGTTAGTTCTGGGAGAGAGAGGAGTGTTTTCAATAGATTCATTTCACACCAGAGGTTACACTTATCATCATGGATGGAAGAGCAATATCTTCTACCTGCAGGTGCGTTTGCGTATTTAATAAAAAATATTCATTAAAACTAATTAATATGCCAATAACATGGGTATAACATTTCAATTCAAAATATTCATTTTATAAACTACACCTTACGATTTGATCTCCAAAAACTTTATTTGAAAAATATCATTACATGTTTTGCTAACACAGTAGCTTTTTCATGTGAAATCAATCAGAAAATTGAAATATTTACATAATACTTCTTCGATTGACGACTTGTTAATTTTGTGGAAATTCATGTTCACTGAGGATACACTACAAAAACACACTTTTGTCTCCTGAACCTATAGTCCTCTCCTGAACCTATAGTCCAGATCCCAAAACCTACATTATATTGAAAGCTTTGTTATGTTCATGGATTTTACAGGTATATGAAACGCAGGTACCGGATATCAGGTATATCAGATATATCAGGTATATGAAATCATTTATGCTAGAATAATATAGGTATAAATTACTGGGATTTAAATGTAATCAGTTAGTTTTGAAAATGGTATAATAGCCGAAACCGGTCAACAATAAAGAAATATAGTGGAAAATAGACAAAAGTGTGTTTTTGTAGTGTATTCTCAATTTACATAATAATAAATGTATATACTCATTTAAGAAGCGAAAATTATGGTGCGATATCAGATAAATTCGATGAAACTCCGTCGAATGTATGATTGAAGGTTTTACAATGTTCCCAATTGAATGGTCTAGTTTCCACATGTCCACATGTTCAATACATTTTCGCCATTTTTCGGAATCAACAATTTTTAAGAACCCCTTAAAAGAGTATTTTCACATCCGTGAAACGAGTTTTGTGGTTAAAGTCGATAAAAATAAGAATACTATTGTAGAAAAGTGAAGAAGAAGAAAGACATTTCCCGCCAAAACCTGTTGAATATTTGAGGTTTGATTATGTGTGCATTTTGAAGGGTGCTTATGTTTGCTTCTTTTGTTTCTTTTTGAAAAGTGAACTTAAGATTCTGTTATGGATGTAGCTGATATAAATATAGGACAGAGGCAGCATAGAGATGAGATAGGAATACGCTGTCAGAAACTTTTTCAGGACTTCTTGGACGAGTAAGATTGTTGAATGAAAGTTTATGTTAACTTGAATGTTAAAATAAATTTTAGGTACAGAGAAGATGGGGAGCTCAAGTATCTAGAGCCAGCCCAAGAACTCCAAAATGAAGAACGCAGCACTATTGAAATAAGTTTCGATGATGTAGAAAAGTACAACCAACATCTTGCTACAACAATCATTGAAGAGTATTACAGAATATATCCTCACCTCTGCCAAGCAGTCGCTAACTATGTTAAAGATAGGGCCGGTCTCAAGAAGGAGAAAGAATGTTTCATAAGCTTTGTTGATGTTCCTACCAGGCATGTTGTTAGAGAACTCAAAACTGATAAAATTGGTACTCTCGTCAGAATATCTGGACAAGTTATTCGCACTCATCCAGTACATCCTGAGCTGATTTTAGGAACCTTCACATGTTTAGATTGTCAGACTGTCATAAAAAATGTAGAACAACAGTTCAAGGTATATTTTTATTTCGAATAGTTTTAATCTTACTCAGGTTTTTCAGTATCTTATTCAACACTCAAACAAAGGAACTACATGAAGTAAATGTTCATTTTTCCAGCTTGCACTAGTTTTTGAGTATTTTCAATCACTGATCACAAATTTGAAGTCAAAACTTGGCATTCGGATTTACTTTTGAATAATGAAGTTGGATTTATAGTTTAAGTAAAAAACTGCAGTGTCATTTCATGAGTTTACATTACAAAAATTCTGCTCCTGAAATTTAAATTAGGCTGCACCCCAAGTTTTGACTTGAAATTCGTGATCAGCAGGCAAGAATATATGAGTCTCAATTAAAAATTTGTTCTGATTGGGTAGAATACGAGGGTTGCTTTTTATATTTCCGGATTAGAGAACAAAAACAAATATTAATCATCCAAAATCACTTTATTGTTTTCCAAAATATTTCCCATCTATACACTTTTGCATGCGTTTGAACCAATTGTCGAAGCACTTTTGCCACTCTGATGTATTCTGAATACAGCAACCCCTTCTTCAGGTGTCGAAAAACGTTGACCTCTCAGTTTTTTTTATACGTGCGGGAATAAAAAGTAGTCATTCGGTACCAAGTCAGGACTATACAGCAGATGACTCATCAAATCGATGTATTAAGCGCTCAGAAATGCAGTTGTTTGAGCCGGTGTGAGAGTGCACATTGTCATGGTGAAGAGTGATCCGTCTTCGGCGGTTGGTTTTCCTGATTTCTTGGAAGACAACTGGCAAACAAATGGTTGTGTACCTACCACTCACTCGAAAAAAACGGCGACTATTTGCTTGGAAGTGCATCGTGCGCGAACAACTTTTGTTGGATTTGGCTCATCTTGAAACACCCATACAGTCGACTGCTGTTTACTTTCGGGCTCATACGTGTAAATCCACGATTCGTCACCTGTCACGATGTCATAGACGTGTTTCGATGCACCGCGACCATATTTTTTGAGAAATTCCTTCGACCAATCGGCACGAGTCTTTTTTTGAGCGATTGACAAATTGTGCGGAATCCAACGCGAACAAATTTTTTTGACAGTCAAATGTTTATGCAATATTGAGTGTATGCTGGTGACACTAATGCCTAAGGTTGAAGGTCACATGGCGATCTTGCAATATCAGTTCGCGCACAGCATCAATGGTTTTCAGAACAACAACTGATTGTGGACGACCTTCACAAAATTCATCTTGGAATGAACTACTACCACGATTGAATTCACCATACCATCGATAAACACTGATCCTTGATGGAGCTTCATCGCGATAAATTGAATTAAGTTCATCCATGCACTGTTGCTGAGTTATTTAAGTTACTGTAAACAACACAAATAGCGTGCATATGTCAAAAAGTTCTGAGTACGTATAAGCTCAAAAATGTCCAACTTTACGATAGAGCTGTCAGTTGCCAGATTGCAACACTAGGGTTGCCAAATCCCGAAACTTAAAAGGCAACCCTCGTATTGACATACTTTTCAGTTACCTTCAGTTATGATCATCAATGGAAGAATTTTTGATAAATTTCTTGTATCTACAGGTGTTTAATAGTGATCATCTTTCTAAAATCTGTAAATGAATTCGCTTATTCAAACATCTGTTGGAGTAAAAAGGTTTAAAAAAAATCTGTTTCAAATCTGTTTAGTCGCCCCCATACGAACGACAACTCTCAGAAGTTGAGAAACTTGTGCGAGCTGAGGACTAACGAGGTCTTACCTTTCAACGTGAGATTCCTAACACGGTTGCAGAATCATTCCAGCTTCAAACAGATAAATTCTTTCGAAAAAAATATCTGGTCGAGGCGGGAATCGAATCCACGGTCTTCCGATCGTGAGTTGGGTGCACTTCCACAACAGCAGTAAACAATAAATATCAGCCCTCATCAGGTTGCTTTAACGCTGATGGTCAAGGCAGTACTGGGTGAATAATAAATCGAATCCAGGTACTTCTGACTATAGGAGTGCACAAAATACATCAAAACTTTTCTTTTGTACTAAACCAATATAATTTATTGACGTCGCCAATACAAAAAACAAGTCATTTTGTTCACTGCTTACCACAATTTCAAACTTGAAGACTATCTAGAAGCACTAGGAATACAAATATATATGAACACCTATGAGTAACTTTGTCTCTTGGGGTGACAAAGTTGTTTCCTTGTACAAGTAGTACTTGTAAAATCGAGAAGTATACCTGAAGGATGGTAGATTTCCATATAAGTGAAATTTTATATCAGTACTTTTTCATATATTACATATATACATATATTTATATATTTCATATATTACAACTAATTCTCTCACAGCTTTCCTAAACAGTACAATCTCGCAAATGCCAAGTAACTAATTATATGGCTAATATGGTTACAGACATTGGATTGCATCTCAAATCCTGCTGCGTAGAAAAGCTGGGAGAAGTGGATGATTCGAATTTAATTTGAAATATTCATCTTTACCAGTGTATGTATCTCTGTTTCACATATTCATCATGCACTTGGGTTCATGACATTCAGTTTAACTTTATAAATCTATTGTAAGAGCAGAATGTACTAAAGACACTTTCAAAATTGTATTTAGCTTCTTCCATCTATTTACAGAAAATGAAAATATTTATTTTTAATTGCGAAAATCCCACTTTCACCATGAGTAGATGAATATTTCCGTGATATATATACATCTATATAATTGATCAAATGGTACACTGAAAGTATCAAGTATTATTAAGAAATATTCCTTAGTACTTTTCAGGAGTCTGATATAATTACTACATCTTGAAACATTCATCTCTCCCAATATTCCTATACAGTAGGATCTAGTTGATGCTTACCAAAAAAACAACTATTTCCCCAGCCAATACCTTGAATTTGCTAGACTACCCTATGTGGGTTAACTTGTTGATATCTGTTGATATAATTCAATATCCATCATGGCATTAGCCAGAGAAGTACCTGTTTTCCAATAGGCATTTACCACATCCCACTATGTAGGAATTTTGGGAGAAATGAATGTTTTGAGATTTCATTTGGAAATATTTATTTTTTATATGTATTTGTTATCGGATATTTCCTGCACTGATGAGAGGTAATACCTTGAAACCAGTCTGTAGGTGATTTTCTCAAAAAATGTCAGCGTGGTCCTGCTGCTGGATGAACGAGAGGCATCTGCAACACTAGCCTCTATGAGGTAACTTGCATAAATGTCTGTTGGATTCAATTCAATAACCATCGTGGTATTAGCCAAGAAAATAGTTGTTTTCCGTCAGGCATTAACCAGATTCTAGTGTGTAGGAACGTTAAGATAGATGCATGTTTGAAGATTTAATTTTGAAATAATCATTTACTCATATGCATATGTATCTCTCCTCAATACAGTCATTAGACTTGTGACACATGTTTCTTTGCAGTTCACGAATCCAACAATTTGTAGAAATCCAGTTTGTAATAACAGAAGAAGATTTATGTTGAATGTTGATAAATCTACATTCGTAGATTTTCAAAAAGTAAGGATACAGGAAACACAAGCTGAACTTCCTAGAGGTTGCGTGCCTCGAAGTGTAGAGATTATATTAAGAGCTGAAAATGTTGAACTAGTACAAGTGAGTTACAATCAATTCTGATTATGTTAATAAAAATTTTCATGTATTTTTTGGAATTGAAAAAATGTGGTTATTAGTAGGAAATGGCTAACTCTGTTTTTCTTTCCTAAGCCTGGGGACCGTTATGATTTCACAGGTACTTTAATTGTGGTTCCGGATGTGGGAGCATTGGCTTTACCAGGTGGCAAGACCCAAATTACTTCAAGACACCAACGTGGTGATGATGCTGAAGGTGTAAGAGGACTGAAGGCTCTCGGAGTTCGTGATCTCCATTACCGTATGGCATTTTTAGCATGTAGTGTCCAGCCTACTAATCCAAAGTTTGGAGGAATAGAAATTCCTGTAGGAGAAATCACCCCAGAAATAATGAAACAACAAATGACAGATGGAGAATGGAAGCACATGTATGAAATGTCTCACGATAAAAATTTATATCAAAACATGATAAACAGTCTTTTCCCAAGCATCCATGGTAATGATGAGGTTAAAAAGGGTATACTACTCATGCAGTTTGGAGGAGTGTCCAAAACTACAGTTGAGGGAACTTCTCTAAGAGGAGACATTAATTGTTGCATAGTAGGTGATCCAAGTACAGCCAAAAGTCAGTTTTTGAAGCAAGTTTCAGAATTCTCACCGAGAGCAGTGTACACATCAGGCAAAGCCTCTTCTGCAGCTGGTCTTACTGCAGCTGTAGTTAAAGATGAAGAATCCTCAGACTTTGTTATTGAAGCTGGAGCCCTCATGTTGGCTGACAATGGAGTATGCTGCATTGATGAATTTGACAAGATGGATCAAAGAGACCAAGTCGCTATTCATGAAGCCATGGAACAACAGACAATTTCAATAGCAAAAGCAGGTGTCAGAGCTACATTGAATGCAAGAACATCAATTCTTGCTGCTGCAAATCCTATTGGAGGTCGGTATGACCGTGCTAAATCTTTACAGCAAAACATTCAGCTATCTGCCCCTATAATGTCCAGATTTGATTTGTTTTTTATTCTTGTGGATGAATGCAATGAAGTAATAGACTACGCTATAGCAAGAAAAATAGTTGACTTGCACTGTAATATTGAGGAAAGTGTAGAAAGAGTTTACACAAAACAAGAAGTACTTCAGTACATCAGTTTTGCAAGAAAATTCAAACCAGTTATCAACAAAGAGGCACGAGATCTGCTGATACTCTACTACAATAGGCTTCGGTTACGTGACAGTACCACTACTGGTAAGTCAACATGGCGTATTACGGTGAGGCAGTTGGAAAGCATGATTCGACTCTCAGAAGCTATGGCAAGGATGGATATTTCTGACGAAGTTCAAACAAAACATGTCCGTGAAGCCTTCCGGTTGCTCAACAAATCTATCATTAGAGTAGAACAACCTGATATTCAGCTTGGAGATGATCAACAAGAAGTGACTGAAGATGACAATATGGAGGTTGATTCAACACCCGAACCTTCACAAACTGTTACCAAAAAGAAAATGGTGCTCAGTTTTGAAGAATACAAAGCTCTTAGTAATATGATTGTAGTACATATGAGGAGAGAAGAAACTCGAATGGAAGCAGGTATGTCAGTATTTCATTTAGATTTTCCCTTTAAAATTGTCATACTTTTATAGAAGGTAAAGAGGGGATTCATAGAAGTGATGTTGTGGAATGGTATCTTAATCAAATAGCTGATCAAATTGAAACAGAGGAGGAACTGGTGGAAAAGAAAGATATGTTTGAAAAGGTTCTCGATCGTCTAATATACCATGTAAGTTATATTTTCAAATTTTAATTGTCAATGTGCGATATATTGAGTTCAAAATACATGACCAAAAATTTCAAACATGGAATGACGAAAGTTTATATACACTTACCCTCGACTATGTGGAGCTAACGACAACCTTTATCGAAACACGTGTCGAGGTGTTAAAATAACAGTTTGGTGTTGGGATAAAACTCGGGTAATATTCATTACTACACCAAAGGTTCCAAACAGTGCATCACAGGTACTATTATCTGTAACCATTGAAACTATCCACATTTGTTTAAATTAACAGATTGAAATACAGATTATGGTTAATTGACACTTTGAATTGTTGATTATAGATAATTGTCAGTTTGAATTGTCAATTATAAAAGAGTAAATCATGGTCCTGTGCCTTTGCCGATACAAGTCTTTTGAAGACTTCTAAGAAATTCTAATAAAGGTGGAATCCAAATTTTAAATTTTTAATCAATTTTTTGAACAATACTAGAAACAGCATTTCAATAATAATACTTTTTCAGGATCAGATCATCATCCCACTGACCAGAAGTGGTCTCAAAGGCTCAGATCAAGAGGAAGAAACTGAAGATGCACTACTAGTTGTGCATCCAAACTATGTGGTGGATCAATAGAAATGGTTTAGTTATAAATAATAATTTGTATTTATTTCAAGTTTGTGAATTTCCAAATAAAACTTTTTTTTAATAAAAACATTTTTACATAACTCTATTACACAGAAATAACTATTGTATAGTGAATAAATTAAGATCTGAGGAATTACAATAACTAGTTACATATATTTGCTGAAGCTGTCACTGTTTGCTGGTAATCATACAGGAAAGATCCCAAACAAGTTATTGAAATATTATGCGGCTCTATGGAGCAATATTCAAAATCATCCAAAATTGTTGCAGGTCCTGAAAAATAACGGTTATTGCTACTGAATTTACTAACAATAATTTTTCCTTACTTTCATTAACCTTCTTCCATTCTGAATACAATGTTTGTTCTATTAATCCCTCATATACACGTATTGATAAACAGCCTAGGTCTTGCAATATCTAAAACAAAAAGATTTTGATAATGGAAATTGTCCACATACCTCAGTGAAAACTTCAATCAAACTAGCTTTTATTGTAAATTCTGACTTGATTTTGATTGTCACTTCTTTTCATTATTGGTCCTGAACAAAATCAAGTCTTGTGAATCAAAGAAAAGCTCCAAATAACCAAAGAACCTAACTTTTGTAATAATAATAATTATATTTATTGATTTCTTTAGGACATCCTAATATACATACATTA